CAGGAAACTTCCAGGCAGGGCTAGAGGGTATAAAAAGACCATCTGCCCATGTGCTCACTCTCTTTCCTCTCCTCTGCTGCTTCTTGCAAGACCATCTGTCTTCTGCAATAAACTGTAACCTTCTTCCCAAAGCAGTTGCCATGTTTGCTTATTTATTCCCGGCTTGGATGAACCAGGATGAAGACTTACTTCTAACAGGACCTTACAATTAGCCAGGAAAAGACAATTCCAGAGATGAACAAATACAAATTTGTAACTAAAGCTAATTAATTTACAAAGCAAGTCAACATATAAAAAGTGTAAATATTTCCAGCTAAATAATTTCACTTGTGAAAAAGTATGTTAAGAAATAGAGTTGTATGGAATTATTGAAGTTGAGGCAATACCTGAAACACGAAGAAAAATATCTGCGAAAACTGTTCCAAAACTAGTCATATATACAAAGTAGAAGCAACAGATTATTGCAAACTTAACTGAAAAGCTTAGCTGACACTGGAGTAATTGTAGACAGAATATTGTTGTGTATACAACAATAATCGGCATGACAGTGATGTCAGAAGGAAAACATTTTAACTCAAATCACAAAAGTCATCTTCAAAAGCATGCAAAAAGTCTTTTAAGTTAACCATGATTAAGCACAACATGCGTACTATAAACACAGTGGCCAATTGTTAAAACTTAACTCATTTACAATATTAAAGAAAAAGATTTTGCTAAATTATAACTATTCCTATTGCTACCTGCAGCTCTTCTAAGTAAAGAATCTCTTGGAATAATCACAGGCTCATTTTCTTCCAAGTCACTTTCAGACTTTGATTCATCATCTGACCATGGGTTTCGTTTCTTTACTTTTTTTGCAGCAGACTTTGTGGAAGATGGTGTTCTTCTCAGTCTAGTACCTAAAATAAAGTAAAATTCTTAGCAGTGTAAGGGATAATCTCTATTATATTTTCTGACATTTAGCATTGATACCTTCCCAGATTAATGATACACAAATTGGTAATATAAGCAGATGCTTCTAAAATATCTATAACATGCACTTTGATATGTCAGCTCTGAGTATAATTTTATATAAAAATGCAAAATTTAAGAACCTTATTTTTTGCATAATTTATCCACTATTTAGTAAGAATAAGTTTCAATGGGACTTCTCAGATCATTAAAATAATAATAATAATAATAATAATAATAATAATAATAATAATAATAATAATAATAATAATAATGATGGTGATGATGTTGGAAGGGACCTTGGAGGTCATCTAGTCCAACCCCCTGCTCAGGCAGGAAACCCTATACCATTTCAGACAAATGGCTGTCCAGTCTCTGCTTAAAAACTTCCAGTATTGGAGCATTCACCGCTTCTGGAGGCAGGCTGTTCCACTGGTTAATTGTTCTAACTGTCAGGAAGTTTCTCCTTAGTTCTAGGCTGCTTCTCTCCTTGATTAGTTTCCATCCATTGCTTCTTGTCCTGCCTTCAGGCGCTTTGGAGAATAGCTTGACTCCCTCTTCTTTGGGGCAGCCCCTGAGATATTGGAAGACTGCTATCCTGTCCCCCCTCGTCCTTCTCTTCATTAAACTAGACATACCCAATTCCAGCAACCGTTCCTGATATGTTTTAGCCTCCAGTCCCCTAATCATCTTTGTTGCTCTTCTCTGTACTCTTTCTAGAGTCTCAACATCTTTTTTACATCGTGGTGACCAAACTGGATGCAGTATTCCAAGTGTGGCCTTACCAAGGCATTGTAAAGTGGTATTAATACTTCACGTGATCTTGATTCTATCCCTCTGTTAATGCAGCCTAGCACTGTGTTGGCTTTTTTGGCAGCTGCAGCACACTGCTGGCTCATATTTAAGTGATTGTCCACTAGGACTCCAAGATCCCTCTCACAGTTACTACTTATTTATAGCACTGTGTTTGAATTATGGTAACCCATCTTAATATAACAGTAGAGAACTGCAAGATTCAGTTACTCACCCAGTGGCACTGATGCATACATATTTCAGTGAACTGCTGGTAAAATAATTCACTTTGGTGTTGCGCTGAGAATATGTTAAGTAGTACTATTTGACTACCTTCACTTTCCTATGGACCAGGGACTGTGGGTAGAACCCACACATCCACTCCCCTGCCATCACCTGATACCAGTCACTCCCAATGCCATTGCCTCTCAGAAATAGCCTGATGACAAGGGGATGACTTTGTATCCCATGCATCAGCTTTTGGGTGGTAATGGTCAGGTTGGATGCCTCAATCCCCATGGATATCTTGTGACCTGTGCAATATGATTTTTCTCTACCCTAAACTAAATCAGAGAGCCAGTTTGGTGTAGTGGTTAAGGCATCAAGCTAGATAACAGGAGACTGTGAGTTCTAGTATTGCCTTAGTCACAAAGCCAGCTGGGTGACCTTGGGCCAGTCACTTTCTCTCAGCCCTAGGAAGGAGGCAATGGCAAACCAATTCTGAAAAACCTTGCCAAGAAAACTGCAGGGTCTTGTCCAGGCAGTCCCTGAGAATCAGACACAAATAGAAGAGAAAAAAAACCTAAATCAGGATCTGCAAAATTTTAAAAGGAAATTACATAATGCCTTTGATGTTTATGATTCAACACATGTGGATGTTAACCAACTCCTTAATGCTATTTTAACTACATACTTGGTGGTTCACATTAAACAGATCAATCACTGGTCAGTGCAAATCCTGCAAACTGGGGATCTTAATACCTCACATAGTGGTGGCTCTTCTATCTCATTGTGTTGCCTTGTCCTTGATTCTCCAATAGTTGAGCAAATTGGAAGTGGCATTCCTGAAGTCTCTGGATATTACTGTTATCCACATTTCCTCCATCGATCCCTCCTCCCTTTCACTTCTGTGTTCTGCTGATTGGTTTTTTTTTTGAATCATGGTTGTCTTCTTTTAACTACTTTTGAACTTCTACTTGCTCCAATATTCAGGAAATTTCCTCTGCAAATGCTGATTTTGAATTTTATGCTGCTGGGTCTTCTTGTGGTATCCTTAATAGGAAATGTATTTCTGGATATGTAATATCTATTCCATCTGAATGTTTTGGATCTGGTTATTTTTGCCTCCTCTCTCTGCTCAAGTTGCCAAGTTACATACTGTGACTCAAGCTAATATTTTAGCCTCTGGTTCCTCTGTTAACATTTATACCAACAGCCAATACTGTTTTGGTATTGTACATGACTATGGGCAACTTTGGCAAAACTGTGGGTTTCTTGCATCTTCTGGTTCAAAATGCTGATTTTATTTCCACTTTACTTTATGCTGTTCTTTTGCACTCTGCTCTTTCTGTTATTAAGTTAAAAAGCTATTCTCATTTCCCTGGAAAAGAATTTGCTGATTCTTGTGCTCAACATGCTATAGGGTCATTCCATGTCAAGTGGTCTGATTTCAGAAAAGTGCCCCACTCGAACATCACAGATTTTGATGAAATTTTGTGTGAACATGCACACATGTCCCCAATGAACATTGGTAAAGTGTTACGTTTGCCGATGCAATACGTGCGGAGATATAGTCATTTGTTTGACCCCATACCGCAGCCTTCTACAGTATGACTCTGAGATTCCAGCAACTTTGAGACATAATATCTCCGGCAATATTTTGTTGAGAGAAACAAAACTTGGCCATCTTGTACAACTTTTTGTGCTCTATTAAACAAAATAATAAAAACATTCTCATGAGCGATCTCCATCTAGATAATTTGGAGCAAAGTTGGCCGAAAATATTGCGGCTCAAAAAATGTTTAAAGTTTGGCTTTTCATATCTCTGGAAGGAAAGGTATGATAAACGTGAAACTTGTGCGTAATAACTTAGCAACACAAGGTTTTCAAATATAAAATTTCATTCTCCTACTGCTTTCCAATAGTTTACAAATTGAGTGTAAAGTTGATGTTTTTTGTAAAAACACCAAAAATAGGGTATTTTCAGCCCGCTTTTACAAAAAAAGACCTTCTGGAAACTCTGTTAAATCATTCTCATTCAAAAGAGCATGTTTCAAACCCCCTAAAAAAGTAGGGTTGGTTTTTCATCGCTGACGTATAAAGCCCTAAAAATAGGGACAAAGTTGAGGACATTGCTATGGCAACGTCACATGTATTCTATTATTTTTTCGTCTTGTTTGTTTTATATAGACATCATTACTACTATTATATTGTGTTGGTCCATGGTGACATAGTCACTACCAGTTCAGGCACTTGAACCAGCAACCCCATCACCATAGGGGATCGTGTTTGTGAAACTAAAATCTGTTCTCATAATAATTACTAGAAGATGTATTGGACAATGTGACCTGTACTGTCAGAGAGGGGTGGGAAAAGTTTCGTTCATTTAATTAACTGCTTCCCGCCGTTTCCTTAGAGCTAGCTTCCCTTTGACCCTACTGGTTTGATTCTGCTCAATAAAAGTAATCATTAGAAGTTTGCAATGGCTCTGATGTTTTGCTTGGTTGGCCTTTTCAGCCGGGGGTTTATTTATTTATTATTTAAATTTATATACCGCCCTATCTCCCTTACGGGACTCAGGGCGGTGAACAGGCAATAATAAAAATCACAATAAATATTGAATAAAAAGCCTGCTCTAAAATACCCCATATAAAACCCCTAGCAAAGCCCAATCAAAACTATGCCAGGCCGGCCGCATGGAATAGATGGGTTTTCAAGGCTCG